GTATAAGGATTTTACTTTTGATCCCATCAATTTTCCAGCGGAGAAGATGAAGATATTTGTTGATAATCTTCACCAAAATGGACAAAAATATGTGGCCATCTTGGATCCCGGTGTGTTTTTTAGCAGTTCAATTGTTTTTCCATGTGGAAATATTTCTTTCATTATTTTATTTCTTCTGTATATATTTCTTGAATGTAACGTGACAAGTTTCTGGGCATTTTTCCAGCCCACACGCAATGCAACTACTGATTTATTTTCTCACACGGTTAATTTTCTGCAGGTATCAGTATAAATAAGACATATGGAACATTCATTCGAGGAACAAAAGCTGACATCTTTATAAAATACAATGGGGTCCCATACTCAGGCGAGGTTTGGTCTGGACCTGTTTACTTCCCTGATTTTGTTCATCCAAACAGTGAGATATTTTGGGGTGGCGAGATTAAATTATTTCGAGATATTGTTCCATTTGATGGTCTTTGGATTGATATGAATGAGATATCAAATGCTATAACTTCTTCTACAAGCCCACTTTCTAACCTTGATAACCCTCCTTACAAGATTAACAATGCTGCAGTACTACGTCCCATTAACAATAATACTGTGCCAGCATCAAGTCTTCATTTTGGTAACTTGACAGAGTATAATACTCATAACTTATATGGTCTCCTAGAGTCAAGGGCTACTCATGCCTCTTTAGTGAAAGTAACGGGCAAAAGACCTTTTGTTGTGTCAAGATCAACTTTTGTAGGCTCTGGGAAGTACACGGCACATTGGACTGGAGATAATGATGCAACATGGAATGATTTAGGATACACAATCCCATCCATTTTGAACTTTGGGCTCTTTGGAATTCCAATGGTTGGTTCTGACATCTGTGGATTTGCTGGAGACACGACCGAAGAACTTTGTCGACGTTGGATTCAGGTAAAAGTTCGCTCATCATTTTTTTTCTTTCTAATTATAGACAGTGTTTGGAAAATGGCCTTTTCCAAAACACTGAAGTTGCCTTTTTCAAAACTTGTTCAACTTTTGCAGTTAGGTGCATTTTACCCTTTTGCCAGAGGTCATTCTGATAAATTCTACATTCGTCGAGAGCTCTATCTTTGGGATTCAGTCGCTGCAACAGCCAGGAAGGTCCTTGCACTTCGTTATCGCCTACTTCCTTACTTCTACACTTTGATGTATGAGGCACATAGAAAGGGAACACCCATTGCACGTCCTCTCTTCTTCTCATTCCCTCAGGATATCAAGACCTATGAAATCAGCTCCCAGTTTCTACTTGGCAAAGGTGTATTGATTTCCCCAGTTTTGAAGGAGGGAGCTCTTTCTGTTGATGCATATTTCCCGGAAGGAAACTGGTTTAGCCTCTTCAATTATTCGGAGTCGGTGAGTGTAAAGTCAGGGCAGCAAGTCACTCTTGATGCACCTGCTGATCATATAAACGTCCATGTCAGGGAAGGAAATATTTTAGTATTACATGGGGATGCGATGACAACACGAGCAGCTCGAGGAACCGCCTTCAAGCTTTTGGTAGTCGTCAGCAATGGTCAGAGCAGCGATGGAGAGGTTTTCTTGGATGATGGAGGAGTGGTGGAAATGGGAGAAGAGGGAGGGAATTGGAGCCTGGTAAGATTTCATAGTGAAGCAGTTGGGAGTAAGTTACTGATCAAATCTGAGGTTGTAAATGGAGGATTTGCTTTGACCCAAAAACTGATAATTGACAAGGTGACCTTTATAGGGTTTGAAAGGCATGAGAAAATGGGTGGGTTTGGTTTAAAGATAAGCAAAGGAGCAAACTTGAATGGAAACTCAGCCATCAAAAAGACGTATGAGTACTCTGGCAAGTTTGTTAATGTTGAAATCTCGGCACTGTCAATTCCTATTTGGGAAGAATTCAAATTGGAGTTGACATTTTAATATTGCTCCAAGTGATATGTGGTGACATTATGGCATATTCATCTGTAATATGTTATCTTAATCAAAGTGAAAAATAAAAAAGTTATCTCCTCAATCAGTCTATCCCTTTACATATATTTTGTTATCTCGTAGTATATCGACATGTGAGGTGAGGATTCAAATCGACGATGATTAGATACTGACATATTATTTAAAAAAATAATAATTCACCCACTAGATTATTAATGTTAAAAAAAAATCTTAATATTACAAAATCCTTCAAATTACCTCTCTTAATTAGTTTAGTTTTTTTCTAGTTTGGAATCAAAGAAATGTATTTTTAAACGATTCATATACCTGGAAGGGTGTAGTACCAAACAAAATATAGATTTAATAATGCCCATGTAATATACTTTAATAGTAATAATTATTTTAACAATTTAAATAAGGCCAAAGAAAACTATATTTAATCCCATTATTAAATTAAGCATTTAATATTTATTAAAAGATATATTATTTATTTATTTTTTCGAAGGAAAAAATACACATTTTATTTGAGTAATTAATAATAAAAAAAATTATTTTAGATCTAATACATTGTTTAACCTAAAATTTGGAAAAAATAAATAAGTCTCATGAGTTCATTACAATATTCGCAGTGTTAGATAACGCGCGCATTGAAGTTCGCAATCGTATGGATGCAAGGTTGCAGAAAACACCAAGAAATTTCTACCCCGACGACTACATGACGACGATCAACAACTGAAACCGGCGCGACTTCAATTCAGCTCATGCAATTGCCAGTGCCAGTGCCAGTGCCGGAGGAAGTCGGAATCGGATAGCGCCCGGAACTCTCTCTCTCTTTTGGTCGGTGTAAAGGCGCCGGTATCATAACTATCATCGGAGGCGGCTCTCAATTTTCACTTTCACTACACGCGGCCGACTTGATTCAGTCGTTTCTGCTTCTGCTGCGGTTTTCGTTGTGTAAATTTTCAATTCTTGAATACTATGGAGTTGGAGGTGAGGACTGTGGGAGGGATGGAGGATTGTTTCGTATCACTTCCTCTCCTTCTCATCCAAACTCTTGAGAGGCGGTCTTCGGCAATGGACGGTCTCCCTGAACTTCTCGTTCTTGAACTTCGGGATTCCTCTTCCGATGAGGTCTGGATGGTTTCTTGGTCTGGCGCTACCTCGTCTTCTTCTGCAATTGAGGTACCTTTGCGTGTTAAACCTGCTTTTATTTCTCTGTCTTCGTGATTTCTATAATGGCTATGGTGACTACTGAGAACGATTTTTTTTAGTTTGTGAATGTTAATTCTCAATCGACGTGTGCGTCTGAAGCACCATTCTTGAAGTATGAGCGTTTAGGACGACTTTTCTAGAAAAGATAGTCGCTAGTTTAAGGCTGTGCTTAGAAACCGATAGAATTGAATGCATTTGCTGTGCCATTTTGCCCCTTTTTGGTGTTACTTCCTCGTCAGTAGTTTTCTGCTAGCAGAGCTGCTAGAGTTCGGAATCTTGTGTGTGACTTGTACATTGATGTATGACTAAAGCTTTTATCTTGTATCAGTAGTTTTCCGATTAGTAAAGCTTTTATCTTCCATTGATGTATGACTTGTACATTTGATATAGATAAGTTGAGGATGGGCATAAGGAGTCTTGTAGAAGTGTGAACTTTTACTGTTGTAGTATAGCGAAATCGACCCAGCAACATATAGGATTATCTTGCAACTGCAACTGCATTGTATAGTCAAAGGGCTGTGCAAAGTGGGCGGTTGATTGATTATGTTTCTAGGTGTAGCTTTGCCTCGTTATTAACTGTTATTAGCCATCTATATGTTAAGTTTTACCAAATCATATGCTGTCTGTCTTATTTATTTAACATGGTTACTTCTAGCTATATCCTGCTGGCATTTTAAGGAAAATGATACCATAAACTTTAATCCCCCTCCCTTTCTCTTCATACTCCATAATTATTTTTGTTGTTAAGCAGTATGTGGGTCTCTGGATGTATTACAGAGTTCTCTTGAATTTTGTCATATTAAATTCTTATTCACTCAACATGTAGTTTTAAATTTAATGTAGGTCTCCAAGCAGTTTGCAGATTGCATTTCTTTACCAGACTGTATCATTGTTCAAGTTCGAGCTACTTCTTATGTGCCAGAGGCTACTCAAGTTTCAATTGAGCCATATAGTGAGGATGATTGGGAGGTTCTAGAGTTAAATGCGGAGCTTGCTGAGGCAGCCACATTGAACCAGGTCCCTTATATGCATCCCTATCTTCTAAATTTCCCTTTCTCATCACACATCCAAGATGGATGTAAAACTGCTTTGATTTAGGGAGGGTTTAAATCTATTTTGCTTATGTTTGTCTTTGTAAATAATAGGAAAAAAATGTGGTTTTGTAACAGATAAATGGGTGCCGTCAAAGGTTTTGGTTATCATATTATTTTTGGGTTCATCCCGGAGTAGAATTCAAATTATTATGTGAATTCTATCAAATAACTATTACTTATTTGCCATGTTTTCTTCATTTTTTTTAATTTTTTCTGATAACTGGGAGTCGGAGTTTTGCTCTCCTATACCTGGGGCACCCATCATGTTTTCTTTATTGTTGCTCCGTTCTTTTGCTTCACTTTTATTAGCGTCTCTAGTTATCCCTAGTTTTCCTCTCCTCATTGTTACAGATGTTTTGTTCATATTGAGATGGCTAGTTGGGGCATTTTGTGCAGTATTGCACTATCCAGTGAGAACAAAAAATTTAAGGTTCAAGTTGAATAACGAGTACAGAGTAGGTATAGTGAGACTGTGATTAGATAGGAATAAGTGAATAACTCTTGATCCTTTTCTTTTCAACGGTAAGATTTTTCCTGGCTGTCCAGTTTTATGAAGCATCTTTTGAAGCTTTTGGCAGAATTATTATTATTATTTTTTAATATGAATAAAATAAGAGATTTCAGGAATGATAAATACTTGCTTTGAGTTGTAAAAACCTCAGATAGAAAAAAAAAACAGTACTCAAAATCAAGTTCTTGTTGTCTTTTTATCTTGGCATGTCTTAATAGTTAATACTCATGTTCAAGTTCGGGCAAGACAACTTTATTTGCTTCTAGCTAGTAATTTTTGTGCAAAAAGTGGGAGAAGCCTTTAACATCTTTTTCTTTGGTGTCCTTGTTCACGGGAAATTTGGGAGAAGGCATCTTGAGTTCAAGTACTTTTTTGGCCAACCAAACACATAGAAAAAAGTTGGTTTAGAGTATTTTTTTCCCCTCATGAAAATGAGACACATATGGATGTGGAACTTGCATACAACACAATATGGACATGACAGCACATCAATTTCTAAAAGACCAGGTATCGTTTTGGGCTCCTGTAGTAGAGTATAGAGCTTCATAYAAGGAGGAATACACACGTTTGAAAAGGAGCATGTCTTACTATTCTTCAAGCTATTCTCTAAAACCTTCCCACCTACCACATGTCCTTATTTTATATGCCTGTGCAAGTTATTAATTTGATTGGGAAACTTTTTAGGGGTTTTCTTTGGGAAGGAGCAAACAATTCGGGTTAATGTCATCTTGTGATCTAAAGGAAGGTCCGGTTCAACTGATCTATTGATTGAGGGGCCTTGTCATCAGTAGCTTTAAACAGAGAAAGCAAACTCTTCTCGCAAAGTGGATTTTGAGTTTTTTAGTGGAAAAAGAGGCCCTTTGGTGGAGGTCGTTGTTGCCAAATATAGCTCCATCAACTTAAGCTCTTCACATGGGGATTTTTCTATGCACTTTTCCAAATGCCCATGGAAGTCTATTTTCAAATGTCAGCAGCGTATTCTTTCCAGGATCAAGCAATCTTTGGGCAATGGTTAGATAGATGGGTTGGGTATGACCCTCTCTTCCAGATGTTACCAAGGAATTGATTTTAGTAGGCCTTTCGCGGATAATAAAATTCAAGAGTGGGCAGCTTTACTTGATTTTCTCCCTGTGGCCCATTTCACGAATTGCCCTGACAAATAACAATGGCTAGCTTCTGGATGCAGTTGGATCCATCACTATTTTGTCCCTTTCACAGTTATGACAAAAATAGATGCTTCATCATGTCCCTCATTATGTTTAGAAGTTTGGCATAGTTGGTATAGGTACCTTAAAAAGGTAAAATTATTCTTGTGGTAAATTGGTCACGAGAGTGTATACYCGTGATTTGATATGGGAGGAAGTATCCTTCCCTTGCTCTATCCTTGGGTTGGTGTATCATGTTGAAAGAAGTTACTGAAATCCCAAAGTCACACTTTCCTTAGTTCTTTTGCATACAGATTATGGAGTTGCTCATTCACCTCCTTTAATTAACTTGAGGCTCTCATTGGCAATAGAAGGTTCTTGGCTACAATTTATTAGAGCTTATTTTTGGAAATTGCGGCTCGAAGGACCAACAAAACTTTCACTAGCTTAGAGAAGACTGTTGACACTTTTTTAGATAATATTTATTTTGTGGCCCCTCTTGTTGTAAATTATATGCTCTTTTTAACAATTATATTTTAAATGTTCTATATGCTAATTGAAAGAATTCTTTGTAACTTTTTTGACTTGGGGTTTGACTTTCCTCCTTTTTTTTTTTGATAAGAAACTTAGAGAAGTGTATTAATCACAAAAGGGAGAACAACCTAAGGGCAAGGGGTAGAGGAAACCCCTCCCCAACACAAAACTACTACATGTACGCCTTCCAATTGTGAAGGATCGAAAGAAGGGAGTAGTTGCAAAAGAATTTACTAAAACTATGACACCACCTAGAAGCAGTGAGCTGAATATTACTCCACAAAACGTGAAAATCTAAAGAAAAATCATCAAAGAGTCTTTTTTTTCGTTCCAGCCAAAGGTTCTACATAACTGCTGCCACCACGAGAGTCCACAAGGTTCCTTTGGCATTTTTGAATCCGCTACCCCCTATGGCTTGAAGAAGCCACTCATCTACTCGT